CCCCAAAACCCCAAAACCCCAAAACCCCGAATTGAATTGAATTGAATTGAATCGGCGTTAATAAAAACACAAAAATAAATAATAAATAATCAGGACAGACCAGATCCCGACTATTCATATGAATATTTCATACATTTTAACGGTCAACATGACCTTTTGAAAACCCAATCACTGTTTCTTCAATCTCTTTCTTTTGGAGTCCTAGATACCTCCTTCTTCATTAGAATCACTCATTATGTCATCAGTTTGTCTCATTGTTGTTGTATCCTCCGGATTTAAGGTATTTAAATTTTTCTTGTTTTCAAGCATTTTTAGACCTCTCTTAGTCACTGGCATTTCTTATTTGAGTTTAATTCTTTCTTAATCATATTTATCAAAGTTTTTAGGAAGTAGTCTCACAAGTTTCCTATGTTTATCTTTCTTTTTGTTATCATTTATGGCATTAACCAAGCATCTTTCTTGTTTAGTTTAGTTATTGATCTGGTTAACTGGTAGTGCAAATGCATTTTGAATTTTAATAAGCTCATCGAAAAGTTTCAAATTTCTTTCTATAATGGCTTCATCATAGGTTAACTTCCTATTTTGATTATCTTGCACTATTCTAGCAACTTCTATCTCTGAAGCCCCTTTTGGGATCTGAATATGACTAAATGGGATGGGTTTAGGGATATTTATACCATTCTACTCCAAGATTTTTTCATCTTGTTTTGTAATGACATATTTACCCCTTTCCATATTTTTTCTTGGTACTGTGCTTTTGCCCAGTAGCTATGATTTTGTAGTATGCTATACTGTTTTATAGGGTTTCTCAGGACTTTTCTCCTGCTAAACTACCTACTCAGCCAATATAACTTACTTAACCACTTTTTCATATTCTATTGCTTCAAGATTATTCTCCTCATCAATAAACCAATCACCTTCTTTATTCTTTTGTTCAATTATTTCTAAGAATTTGTTTGTCACTTTAAACTCTTTGTTCTGTTTATCTCTTTTTATTTCTTTAAATTTGAAAAGTTTCAATGTATTCTTCAACTCATCTTTTAGATTACCATATATACTGTCCGGAAAACTTTTTAGCACCTTACTTCCAATACTTGTACTTTTGTATAGTCTCATTTTTACCATAGCATAAGATTAATCAAAGTATTACTATGTTTATTTTCTCATTTTTTCTTTTTCTTATTTTTCGATTTATTACATTTTCTTTTCTCTTCCAACATTCTTCTTAGCATTTTTATATTACATAGATTCTTATTCTTACCTAATCGGATTAATTATTTCAGTTTAGAACACTCTTTTTTGTTCAGAAACTTATCTAATTGATTACATTTTCATACTATTCATCGGATTTTCATCTACCACCATTAGTTCTTGTTATTACACATTTTCTAATACATATTGTTTCCTCAAACTTTCTCTTGCTTTATCAATCTTCTTTTCTTTGATCTTGGTTAATTTTTCTAATTTTCTGCTTTCTTTTTCAATATTCAAAATATAGTCACCGATAATTTTAGGATTTTCAAATTTCTTGATTTCAACTTTTTTGAATTTATTCATTCTCTCCTTTTTTTGTTTTTTGAATCCATCTCTTTTTTCTATTCTTTGATTCCATAGTGCTTCTTAGATTAGGTTAGCTGTTTCCTTTCTAGATTAACAGAATTCTTCTCTAATATCTTCCATTGTAGTTTCCACATTTTATGGCAGCTATTGTACTTTGATTCCCCTTACCTGCACAACTAAGGCGCTTCTTGGTATTGGTTCCTCTTGGTCTGTTAGGTCATAATTCATAACTAAGTCTTCTAATTCTTGGTTTCTGTATTCATTCATTATTTAGATTTGTTCTTGAGTATGGATTCTAGTTTCTTGTGTTTAGCTAGGCTTTTGGATTTTTTAAGGTAAAACAACGGAAATGTCAACTAAACCAGGCATTTCACCGTTTTACCGTATGTTACGTTCTACCGAATTATCGTGTAAGACTAAAAAGTCTTATTCAATAATATCGTTCGAGTTCTCTTGGAAAAATACTTCTTCTTCCAGAGCCTTAAGTTCTTCTACTTACTTCAGCTTCCGACTTTCAGGTTCACTTATGATCCCCCTTCTATCAGCAGCTTCTGTAGGTATTGGAGCTCGCAGCTCTTCCGAATTTTCTTTAACCTTGATTACTCTAACAAGTTTTTCCGTCTCGACTGTTGTCGGTTTCCACTTTTTCTTCCATTGCACTTATCCTTTGTTTGCTTCCTCACATTCTTCCCATGTTAGCTTTTTCACTATTTAATCCCTGTCTCTATTCAGATTTTTGTAAAGTCCTATTATCTTGCTGGTCATTTAAACTGTGCTTGCTAAGTGCTTAATCTTACTTGAATCAATAGTGTACTTCCTTATAAGTCCATAAGTAATCGCTACTTCATATATTGATTCATAGTCTGGTTCAATTATGTTTATCCACTATTCTTCCTCCTTTTTAAACTTTTCACATCTTTTTGTTGCTACATCCTTCTAATATCCCCTATCCTACAGAAGTTGTAAGTAGTTTTAGGTTCTAGCTTCTACGTTTTCCACTAAATCCTCCACGCAATTGTACAAGTGTTATATGCTAGCTCTGATCCCTTTTTGTCCTCTCATAGTTTTACAGATTTAACACTCATAAATACCTTTACCACTTCCATTCCCATAAAATCCTTGTGCTTTCATTAGTCCTTTCCATATTGTTGGCATAATTCTGTAGTATTCTTTTCTAAATTTCTAGGTAAGTTCATTATCCGCATTCCACTAGATATTTTTTACTGCTATTTGTCTCTCTTGTTTATCTTAAGTCAAGATAGAAAATTGAAATTTAGTCCCTTAGTTAGCAATTCTATCCCAATCCAGAGTTTTGATTTTTTCTATCTTAAAGTAATTTCCAGGTTGTTTTTTGTCGAAGTCTCCTATTATATTCAATTTTTTCATTCTTTTCCTAATAAATTATCTAGTCCCTCTTCTTTATAGAATTTCTTCATATTCCTTTTCTAAGTTATGTCTCAAAATATCTTCAAACTAGATACTTTTTGACATATCTTTGTCATTTGTTTTCAACACTATCCTTCTGATACTGATTGTTGCTATGTCTACTTTATCTTATAATGCTAAATTTTCTATCATATCTAACTTACCTTTTTCATCTTTATTTTTATATAAATCATAAAGTTATCTAGATAGCCATTATTTCTAGACTTTTTCTTATTCTGTAATTGCTCCTTCTTTTATATCTTTTTCATCAAATGGATATTCGTCAAGGTGGGTGTCCTATTTAGTTGTGTCTCCAATACTTGCCTATTAGAACCTTATGAACTTTTGTCTCTATCTTTCTTTATCTTGAGTTTCTCGTTATTCAGAATCTTCTTATAGCTACATTTGCTATTGCATTGTTTTTATAAGTGCTTTTCTATATATAACTTCCTCCTAGAAGAATCTATAGAACTTGTATGATTTCCCCTGCCAAACTTTTTATCTGCCTATTTCCACTTCATTAACCCAATCTACTTTTCCATGGGTTTGAAAGTTGCTATTGATGTATTGTTTAAGCACTCCGTTTATTTCCATTTATTATTTGGCTGGGTTTGCATCTTTTTTCATCTACTATTTCATTTGAATTCTTGTTTCTTTATCTGCTGGCTTCCATTTGTTCTTTAGGCATGTTTAACAAATCGCCGAGTTGTTTCCATCATCTTCAATTTCGGGTATAGTCATTTTGCATCTAGGAGCAAGCCACATGTGTGTAATTGAGTATGTTGCTGCTCTGTCTGCATAGTGGTTGCCTATTGTTTTCCAGTTCCCGTTTCTTTAGTGTCCTCTTACATGTTCTAGCTTAATTTGTTAGTATTATAGTAATTTTTAGTGTATCTCTACTAACAGGTATGCATTATCATTGTTCATTGATTCTTCTTCTTTCGTCCACCTATATATCCACTTTTCCATGATTTCCACAGAAATTAGTGAATCAGTATAAATAGTGATTTAATCAAAATGTTAGACTTAGATTCCTTTATCTGAGATTGCCTTACCACCAATCCCTATATATTTCCTCTCAATATACTCTATAGCTTTTTTTATAGCTATTAGTTCTCCAACTACATTGTTCAGTTTAACTTTTCTTTCTTTGGCTATTGCAGTGAGAGTAATTTCATGTGAGCGTTATACACAATTAAACATATCAATAATTCCTATTGAAGCATATTCAATATTTCCAATTTTCATATATCCTGCGTCTGTGAAGATCGCTATGTTTTTGCACCTGTAAATTGGTATGAATCCTCTGTTTTTAACTTTTTCTATCTAGATATTATATTCCTGTCTATAAAGTCTAATTCCTTCTCGAATATGCATTTCTGGGATTTCTTCTAGTTAGAAACATATAGGGCATTATATTTCTGGGCTTTCAACTTTAAACATTTCATCCAACTTGTCTACTCTAATAACATAGTCTGTAATTAAGTTCTCTGATACTTTGTAATATTCTGGTATTGATTACTTTTTAATCATTTCTACTATTTCTTGATAAGTCTTAGTTTTGTCTAAATATTTCATTTAGTTAGCTATGTCTAAATATCCATGTATTTCTCCTAGGATTTTCTTATCTTCACAGTAAGGAATCCTTTTGTATAGCTATGTTGCTTATTGTAACCACCATAGGACTAAGTTGGGTTATGGTGTTAGCGACGCAGCTAGTTATGCGTCAACTCTTTTTGGTATATCTAATAATTTTTTACTTACCTTTCTCCAAATTTCCAATGCATCATTAACTCCAATTAAGTTTGAAATAATGTATGGAGTCATATAATATCTATATACTGAATCTAAGTATATTTATTGGGTTCTATATGATGTAATAGGTAG